ACACACACACACACACACACACACACACACACGCACGCGCGCGCGTGCGCGCGCTGACACTTACACACGAACACACCCTCTGACACACAAATGTTTGTGGTGTCAGCTAATGGATATGTGTCATACTACACACCACATAATGAACGTTTGATTGGCAGATTGACAGGTAACTACAATGCGGTGGGTTCTCTTTGACTCTGTTCTGGGATATTCTTTGCCTTTTTTTGTTGCAGAGTGACATAAACTGCAGCGCTGAAAGCTCTGTTGGTCTGTGCTCTTTCCCCGACCTTATTTAAAAAATAAGAGATTATAAAAACCCAACCCATGTCCACTTTCACCAACACGTATTCTCTCTCTCTCTCTCTCTCTCTCTCTCTCTCTCTCTCTCTCTCTCTCTCTCTCTCTCTCTCTCTCTCTCTCTCTTTGCCTCTCCCTCCCTCCCCATCTCTCTAGCTGTCTGTCTGTCTCTCTTACGCCCCCTCCCACCCGAAAAAAACCCCGCACCCACAAAAAGCGAAGAAAAGCTCAAGCCTCATTTTCTGCATATTCTTCTCCTCACGCCTTTGTCACTTCCCTGCGCTTTTTTTCTATGGAGAGATAAGATTACCGTGTTCTTGAGAACATAATCCCCTCAGGGTACTCATTAGCTGAGATCTACTTGAAAAAAGTTGAATAGCCGAGGAAATAATGGGGTCTGGCCAGCTCTAGGTAGTGGAAGAGGCTTAGGATGGGAGGGATAACTGAAGGGTAGTGGACAAGGGAGTCAGTTTAGTTTAGTAGAAGTTTTACAGCGCTCGCAACTGCATAAGGTCATATGAGCGCCAGAAGATTAGAGGTGTTACAAGAGAGTAACGAACATAACAAAGAAGAAGGGGAGATAAGGACGATAGATGTTTGATAGGAAAGAAAAGCAAACCACACCAGAGCACCCGCCAACCACCCACAGTGGACACGGGAGCTTAGACGTATGAACAGAGTGGTCACTGGCTAAATGTTAATGTTATTGGTTGTAAATGGTTTTAAGTCCTTTTCGACAAAGTTTAGATCGTTTAGCGGGTGGCTTATTTCGACCTTGTCTGTCTTGGCCAACTCGGGCTGTTTGGGATACACCCCAGTAGAAAGGCAGGGACATTTGATAAAACATCGTTCCCATTTGGGAATTGAACTTTGTCTTTTGCATGTAACGCAAAGAAACTGCACTACACCACTGAAGTTGATGAACCCTTTGTGTTTTGATGACATTCGGTGATGACGACTGATATAACGATATTTGAACTTCATTTAGGATAGGCAGTCACTCTGGTGGTTCCAGAATTCAATTTCCCCACTTTATTATGTTCTGCCTGCTTTCAGTCCACCAACCTGTATACAAGCAAATACATGTAAAGAGTGCTCTGAAGGATGCTCTGGTATGGTTTGGTTCCTTTTTTCCTATCAAACATCTATCGTCCTTTTCTCCCCTCCTTTTTTTTGTGTTTGTGACTCTCTTGTAACACCTCTGATCTTTGGCACTTATATGACTTTATTGTGTTGCAAGTGTCGTAAAACACTTACTAAAACTACAAACCAAAACTCTAACCCAGTGTTTCTCTGCCTGTTACAGCTGATCCGTCCCGAGGAGATGACCAACCCCAAGGTGGACGACCTGTCCATGATGACCTACCTGTCTCAGTTCCCCAACGCCAAGCTCAAGCCCGGCGCCCCCGTCAGGCCCAGGCTGAACCCTTCCCGTGTGCGAGCCTACGGACCAGGTCTGGAGGCCACTGGTAACCAGGTGGGAGCACCTGCCCGCTTCACTGTGGAGACCTTCAGCGCTGGCAAGGGATCCGTGGAGGTCATCATTCTGAACCCCAAGGGACAGAAGGAGCCGGTCAGTTCTTTGAAGACAAAAATGAAAACAATTATTTTGTCTGTGTACTTCAGTCTGTTTCTGTATGACTATGTTTCTTCCCTGTTGTTTCATCATTGCCTCTCTCACCCTGCGCCATGGTATAGGCCACAAACAAACACTTTCCACCTTTCTCTGTCCTGGGCTAGCCTCTTGATGTTATTCCATGTCTTCGCACTTTTCTGTCATCGATTTCTGTGATTCTTCTCCGGGTTCCTCATGGTCTTCCCCTTGATCTTTTACCCTGTGGATTTCCCTGTTGTTTACACATCCATGTAAAAATTTGTTGAATAGCTTTTTTTGAGTTAATGTTTTTAATGAATAGCAACTCTCTTTTTACTAGTAAATTTGTAGGGGTCATAATTATAACTCTTTTTGAATGAGTTTATGAAAAGATGTGCATGAGACTGCTGTATTCCAAAAAATATTTTCTTTGTAGTACTCATACACATCCCAAGATTTTCTAGCTAAAATTCGAATTTCTTTATTCATCTCGCACGGGGAAATTTATCTAAGTTGTTTGTAATGGCAGAGGAGTCGCAAAGTTCATGTGCAGTGACTCACAACAAGAAAGGACATGAATTGTGGGTGGTTGGCGGGTGCTCTGGTGTGGTTTGCTTCTTCTGTCCTATCAAACATCTATTGTCCTTATCTCCCCTTCTTGTTTTTTATGTTTATTACTCTTTTGTAACACCTCTAATCTTCTGGCGCTCATATGACCTTATAGAGAGCGCTGTAAAACCTCTACTAAAACTAACTGAATGGACATGAATAATTATTATGTGCTGAAGCAACCCCACTTCATAAATATTCTCCCTCTTTCTTTCTCTTTTGTGTTCAGTGTGAGGTGAACTTCAACAATGACCGCAACATGACCTACTCCTGCGTGTACGTGCCCAGCATGGAGGGAGCCTACAGGGTGAGTACGCCATTTGTGTGAAAAGGGAGAGTGAAAACAAATTTTTTTTTTAGATGTCAAGAAACTGATCACACCAATGTGACTACAAAACCTTCGATTAGATAAGATAAATGAAAATAACATTTTTATTGATTTCCACAAAGAAACATTTGATGAGACATGGTGAATACATACACGCATACTCAAATGTCAACTCACGCACTCACACACACACACACACACACACACACACACACACACACACACACACACACACACACACACACACACACACACACACACACACACACACACACACACACACACACACACACACACACACACACACTTATATACACACACTTATATACACACATGAATAGTCATTGGAAGGTGTCCAGTTCAACAGGGAATGTATTCTATTTGTCTGTCAGGTGATCGTGAAGTTCAGCAACAAGGAGATTCCCAAGTCTCCCTACACCGTACAAGTGGAGGGTGCTGCTGGCGACCCCACAAAGGTCACCGCTGCTGGACCCGGTCTGGAGAAGACTGGTGTTGTTGCTGGCAAGAAGACTTACTTCGAAGTCTACACACAAAGTAAGTTAGTTGAATATATTTACTTTCACTCTGTACCAATAGGTGTCGCGGGGGAGGGAGGGGGGGGGGGGGGCAAACATCTGTCAGATGCAAGTCGAAGGGTTTAGAGGAAGGTCAAGTCGTAGGCTCCGGGAGTTTCCTTTTTTTTACAGAGTCAATCCAGCGATGCCTTGGTCTTCCTCAGAATGATTATTCAATGTTTTGAAGAACATCATAATAAAGAAAAGGATGAAATTTTTTGGAGTCTCATCCTGTGGCTAGTCCATATAAGTAAGGAGGTAAGTGTGTTGAAGTGAGGGGATGGGGGTCTGTGGACAGATCTTGGGGGAGTGTGGAATGTCGGACGCTGTGTCCTTGGGAAAGACACTTTACACGAATTTCCCACTTGGCTTGGTCCTTTCGGAGATGAGCGTTAAACTCGCAGGTCTTGCCTCTTAAATAAATAACCTGTGGATGTTTTTATACAGATGGTTGTCTTAGACAGATGGTCGTTAGAGCAGGCTCCACTGTATTTCGAAATGAACAGATATTCCTGGTGTTTCTTACTTTCAATGTCTCCGTCTGCCCCTCCACAGGTGCTGGCAAAGGCACCATTGATGTGGCTATTCTTGACCCTCACGGTCACAAGGACAAGATCCGTGCAGCCATCAGCCCTGTGGTGGGCAAAGAAGGCACCTACCTGGTGGAGTACACTCCCATCGAGCCCGGACTTCACTCGGTCAACGTCTTCTTCAGCGGAACCCAGATCCCACACAGCCCATTCGGAGTCAATGTGGCACCTGGTAAGAGTTGAATGATAGATCCATCTTCTCTGCAGCTTTTTTTGAAAACAGGTTTTCTGTTGTCAAGTATTGTGGATGCCAGCTTACAGATTTGTTCTAGACTGCTTTCAGACAGTTTGAAGCTGTTTTAAATGGGTTTGAAAAAAAAATAATGGGCAAGGCTCATTTATGCCATAAACATTTTCATTTTTCTATTAAACATTTTAAGATATAAATATGTGCAAGGGAAAGGGTTCTATGCAGATTTTTTGGGGACATTTGTAGGTGTTGTAAAGGGTTTTGTTCTAAAATGAAAGCTGTTAGCATCCATGATCTTTGACACATGGTTGAGGTTTTGAGGCTGGAAGTTCTTTATTGATTGTGTAATTCTGCTTTTCTGGCTTCTTCTCTTATAGCTTTTTTGTTTTGTTTTTCTCCAAGCACAAATTATTTGTAAAAAGCACCAACAGCAATGTTCGTTTTTCTTTCCTTGCCTGAGACACAGAATACCTTCTGGAGTTCTTTTAAAAAAAATCTGTTCTGGTGACAGCAGATCAACTTTGTTTTGATGGGCATACAGTTCAATTAACAGCCTGACAGTTACTGGCTTCGTAATATTCATTTTTTTTATTGGTTTATTTTTGTAGTGACATACTAAGTTATCATTTTGTGTCAGTGTCCTTTTCAGAACCATGTTTATTCTTTAAAGGCCTTCACCATATAAAAAAGAAAGATTATGGACAATTTAAACCACATCCTCACTGCCCTCCTTTTGTCTTACTCCTTTCCTATAGCACATTTTTCTCCACGTGCTTTTTTGTCTCTCCCAGACTCTCTGTCGGTCTGTTCATATCTTTTCTCCTCCCTCTTTCCAGTAGCCTCGGGTGGCATTGTAAAAGGATAATGAATTGAAATCAATCCCTCCTCCCTCCCCTTTTCTCTGTCTCTCTCTCTCTCTCTCTCTGTCTCTCTCTCCCTCTCTCTCTCTCTCTCTCTCTCTCTCTCTCTCTCTCTCGCTCTCTCTCTCTCTTTCTCTCTCTCTTTCTAGCTAGCAACGGCACAATGGTTTCAAAGTAGCATGCATTAGCAAGTTGAATCTTTTCTAGGTACTTTGGCCTTTCACTGTCTATCGTGACCTAAGTAGAATAGTTGAAAATCATTTTGAACCTTCTTTTGCCCATTCATTTCCTGTAAATCACTAGACCCTTTGTCTTTAGAAATTACCCATAGTGAGAGATAGTATTAGTATCTTCCATACCATAACATGTTTCTAATACCATTCTTGCAACTATGTTCAAGGTGCATACAGCTAACCATTATTAGTTTTAGACTTTAGATTTTATGTTTAGTTTTCTTTTGCACTGTGTTTTGCACAGGGTTTGGTTGGGTTTTTTGTTTTAGATAGTAAAATAGTACAAGCTAAACATATTAGTTATTGTATGTAATGATGATTATGTGGATAGACCAGTGACTTACAACTTTAGTCATTACTGATATGCATCATCATATGTCATGTAACCTTTTTGTTTTCCATCATCTCCATTTTGCTCAGCCAAGAGTAAGTAGACTGGAGGATTTCCCATTGAAATCATGTTGATTTTTAACCCCGTCACGATCACTTGCATCTCTGAGCATGATAACAGTTGATCGTGTGTTGATGTGACCATTGTAATAATATGTGATGCTGAAAGTCATTGGTGGCTTATAAAGTGTGTTCACTGATTGACTGCGTTCAGTCTTACATCGTCATCGTTCAGTCACCGGAATCTCTGTTGTAGTAGTACAGCTGAAGTTAAAGCTGCTTGTATCGTTCATATTTTATCTGCTTTCTTCTTTTGATACAACAGTAAAATTTGAGTCTTTGAGGCAGTAGTAATTAGTGTGAACGAGGCTGGAAAGTGTGTGTGTGTGTGTATTTACATGCGAGTTTGGGGTGGATGATGGTTTTCCAGTATTACATGGAGTTTGTTATAAAGATGCATGCGGCTAAGCACGTACCGATAGCTTGTTCAGTGCAAGATAATCAGAGAAAAGAAGATTGAAATGGTAAAAGTATTGTTGAGTTTTGGTTGTACAATGCATCAAGACTATAAACGTTTGTCCCACAAAAAGAACAAAGAAAGTATGTTACTCACCAAACAGCCACTAGGGATACTGTTATTTGTCTGCACTAAACAAGAACATCACCCTTTTTTTATAAACTAGGTCTGTTTTGTGCTGTGGAGTATATATAATATGTGGTCCACATAAGCAATCGTCTGAAATGAACTGACGTGAATGTTAAGTTCATAGATCCACAAATGTGCAGATTTCTTTGATCAGTTACTTTGTTTCTGGATCTTTTAGAGGGGTGAGGTGGCAGAGAAAGGACTATTGATGAAAAAGATGTTTCTTTTTGTGTGTATGGAGCCAACAATAACAAAGCTGTGCTTTTTTAACTCTATTCAAAAGCATGATTGTCAAAATTTTTATTAAGTATGCATGTTCACTGAATTGATGGAAGTGCGAGCTCAGCTGTTGGTATCAAGTGTTTAGAAGTCAGATGGATATTAAGGACTTTGACATCCTTAAATGAGCCTCTAACTTGTTACATGGACAGTAAAGCTCTCTGTATTTAATGGTCAGATTTAACTTATTTGTCTTGACACCTTAGATGTATTTGAGACAACTGTCTTTGTAAATCACAGAGTTTTTTAAATTATTAATTGTAACAGCACTGACACTTTTATGGCAATGAGGAAGTGTTCAAGTCAAGCATATGGTTAAGAAGAAGTACAATGTGGAAGCTACTTGATTAGAATTTTTGATGTGCACTTTAATAATAGCAGCTTTGTTGACCTAACTCAAACCGCTGCTCTGATCATGGAGGAGTCCTGGTTTTAAAAAAGAATGTTTTAGGGTTAAATGAATTTCCACAGAACCAGTCTTTTCATTATTAGAATAAGGGGTTTGAAATGAAATCCAGGCCTTAAAAGGTTTCTGCGTCCGTGCAGCTTTTTTGTGGGCACTCAGACAAGACATCAATATTTCAGTAGAGATGTGTTTTTTTTTGTTAAAAAAAAAAAGAAAGTATTTTGTAAGTAGTTCATGGGTTTCTCCTAGGAGTCTAAAAGCATGCTTAAAGTTCTGTGCTCCTTATTTTGATTGGCAGATTCTGTTAGTCTCTGTGTGTGTGTTTGTGTGTGTGTGCATCAAGTGAATAGAAACCATGCTGAATACTATACTAAGCCTTACTGTAAAGTAGATTGATGTGTTGTTAACTGTTGACCAAAATCTTTGCATTTTTAAAATATTTACGAAGTGTCCATTTTCGTTCAATTTTCAGATGATGGTAACAAAAAAACGTTTTTTTTTCTTCTTCAAAAATCTCTTTTCAGTTTTAATTGTTTATTTTGTGTTGCTTCTCCTTCATAATTTTCCTCTAATATACCATCAGTACTGTGAATGGTCCCTTCCTTTCACTGTTCTTTCTATTTCTTTTTGTTTCCTTGAAAATTGTTCTCCGTTATTGCTTTCATGGACAATCTTTGATTATATAAGACTTATTGTCGTTTTCAAATAATATTGTCATCAATTTCTGTCAATGGCACAGTTTGACAACCTCAGATTTTGATAGAGCCTTTAGCTATAGCTTTATCTTTTCTTCTTGGAAATTGTAGAAATTCTTAGAGAATAATGTGGCTGTAAAGTAAAAGAGACAAATTCTTTAAAGGGAAAAGAATCAATGTATTCCAACTACTCTATTAATTTGCATCTTGCTTTGGTTTTTTAAAAATCGCTTGTCCATTGCCTGCCTTATGTCCTTCCCTCTTATCCCATTCCCCTCATGTCTCCACTTTTACCTCTCTTAGTATTATCTCCTTCAATGTTCATTATTTTATCCTTTTTCTTTGTTTCTCTCTATCTACTCTTCTCTGACAACTGTATAACTGTCTGTCTGTGCCTGCATGTTCATCTCTCTCTTCATCTGTCTGTCTGTCTGTCTGTCTGTCTGTCTGTCTGTCTGTCTGTCTGTCTGTCTGTCTGTCACTAACATCAGTTCATCTCATCAATTTTTCGTTTGCCCAAAATGTTTTTATCCTTCACTTCCGTCCTTCCTGTACCCTCAAAATCGGCTTTAAAACAAAAGTAAATGCTGGCTCATAACAGTAATCCTTCTTCAATGACCTACTTGTTCTTTCTAAACTGCTGTTTGTCTTTTTTTCCTTTGATAATAATCATGGTTGTGAGACAGTTGATAATACTGTGCTGTCTTGTACAAAGCAGCTGTACTGAAGGCCTTTAGATTTCTCACAGGATGAGTCTGTGGGACCAGAAACATAATTTCTTATTAACTCATATAACTTTGATCGGAGAACCTTTTTAAAAAAAAATATTTTTGCCATCACACTCATAATATCATCATTATGAGAATGAGAGGAACTGGTCTGAATTTTGACCTCTAACTTTCTAAAACCATTCATGCTTCAGGGTACATGAAACTTATTATGTTTGACTATTTTGTCATTTGGGCAAGAGGATTAACAAGATTCCTCATGCTGCAGGATATTTTAACTTACCATCTGAATTTCCTCCCTTTTTTCCCTCTCAAAATAACCCATGACTGTCTCTACTTTTTGTACTGTGAAGTTGCAATTTTTCTTTTCTGTTAAAGTTAACTTTTGTTTCTGAATGTGACTTTTCTATTTCTCTTTTTTCAATGTTTGTTAAGGTACAAAATATAAGAATGATTTTTTAGAAGGTGGTAATGAATTTTCTACACCTTTGTTGTTAACTAAATTTTAATTGTAGAATACTCAAAGTACTGAGGGTGGTTATTGATATTTCTTTTAACTTATTTAACTAGCTCTATTCAATAATGAAAAATAATGTTCCAGTCAGCATATAGTTTCCTGTTCTTAGGTAGTAAAAAACAGGGGAGGTGGGTAGCTTTTCAGAAGGTTTTTATGGGATTAAGGGGAAAGGTTCTGATGTTTTTGCTTGAATAATTATTTGAGGTTCTTTCTTTCTGCTACAGCCTCCAATGCCAAGGCGTGCTATGCAACTGGCCGTGGCATTCAGCCCAGAGGTGTGCGGGTTAAGGACAAGGCTGTGTTCTACGTCCACACCAAGGGAGCTGGTGAAGGAGCTGTGGGAGTGCAGATCTTTGGACCAGGTCAGCTTTGATTTCCAGGCCAAATTCTTCCAGTTTTATACGTATATAACTTGAGCAGCTTTGCGCGCCTCCCCCCCCCCCCCATCTTTCTTAGTGTCCATTATGTGAGGCTTTTTTGACAAAATTGGATCATTTTCTGGAAGAAGTTAGTTTAGATAATATGGATGGAAAAGAAATCAAATAACATGGTGCTGAAAAAAGCTAGAGTGGGCTGCTCAATAATAAAAACAATTTGGAAGGCGGAAGGCCTTGAACATCTTGCTCTCACTAAAAAAGTAGACGGGAAAATAGGCAGAGATGGACCAAGAACGACTTTGGGGAACTTGAGCAGACAGATGGAAGAAAAGGAGCAGGATAACGAAGGATTTTTTTTTAGAGTATCCGAGCAGAGAATTGAGAGGTGTAACAACAGCTTTGTCGTCTTTTCCCAGTTACTCCTTTTTCCTTGGTTCTGTTACCCCTGCTTCCCCCTTAGTATGAAGAAAAATATTATGGTCTTTTTAGTTATTACTTCTTCATTGAACTGTTGAACAATATGTTAGTCATATTTTACAGTGAAAACGGCTGTCTTATACTCATTACTCATACTTTAGATTATATTCTTTATCGTTTAGTTTCCATTGTTTATGGAATTTAGGTTCTTTTTTTTTTATAAAGTTGCCGTGTTTCAGCTGTTTTAATCTCCTCATTACCCCATCTTGTTTTCTTCTCATGAAATGCATAGAATATTTTCTTCCTCTAACTGCTTTTGTGAACATTTGATTTTTTTCAGGTGGCATTGAGGAGAAATGCTCTGTGAAACCCGTGCAAGGAGAAGAGGGCGTCTACGAGTGTGTGTACACCCCCTCCAAGCCTGGCAACTACATCATCAACGTCACCTTCGCTGACCAGCACATCAGCAAATCTCCTTTCAAGGTCAGCTTATCATCAGCATTGTTTGATTAAGTAATGGAGGTTTTCCTCCTGTCAGTGATGACAGATTCATAAACTGCACTTTGGGATTGTATTAGTGAGATATTTGAAATTCATTCATACTGAAGCTAAGAATGGGCTTATGGTTTCATGGTTTTTAAGAAAAATTTGTGATTTATGTTGTTGAATGATTTCATAATCTTTGATTTGTCTCTATACTATGGCTGTTCAGAATGACTTTAGACTTTTTCTTCACAATTTATTTTTTTGAGACAGTTCAATTTTTTTTAAAGAATTGCTGGTTATAGTTTTTCTTTTACCAATTTTTTTTCAGGCACTGATAGATTTTATTGTTTCTAGTATGTGAATGAGAGGTAACTTTTGATGACTTTCTCCTTGCAGGTCGAGGTTGGTCCTTTCTGGAACACCAAGATCAGAGCCTATGGACCCGGTCTCGAGGGAGGCGTTGTCAAACAGCCAGCTGTCTTCACCGTTGAGACCAACGGGGAAGTCGGTGCTCTGGGTATGAACTTAGATACTGAGCTCTTTAGCTTAAAGTATTCCTTTTGTTTTGTAGAGTCTACAGTTGTTTTTTTATATGATACGTTTGCCGTTGGTGAATGAGAAATGAGGGTAAAATAACATACAAAATAGAAGCTTTGCCAAAAGCTATGCAGTACTGATACAGAAAGGAAAATACCATTGTTACAAAGGGAACTGAGGTTTTATCCATGGCTACTGCAATGTATGATTTCTTTGATCATGTAGTGACCAAAGCTATTTTTGTCTGTGTTGAATACATTTCTTCAGAAATTATTGGAAAGATAGTTTGATGACAACAATAAAGCCGCTAAAACGTTTCAATGTTGTGCAGAATAACGATTCTTGCATTTTTTTCTTATGCAGCCACTGCCAGTTTGGTATGGCCATTATTTTTATTTTATTTCCGAGCATAAGAATCCCTCATCTTGGGACTGAAAAAGATTACACGATAACTTTGCATAGTAATATCACGATCGCACACATAGTGTTACATGTGAAGAAATGAGAACAGGATCCTTTTAATGTATAGAAAATGCAAGCTCAACGCATTCCCTTTACACACAAATGTATACAAATGCTGTTTATTATTATTAATTATTTCTTTGTTTCTAGGCTTCTCCATTGAGGGTCCATCCCAAGCCAAGATTGACTGCAAGGACAACGGTGATGGGTCTGCTGATGTGACCTACTACCCCACCGTGCCCGGAGAGTACGCCGTCCACGTTCTGTGCAACGACCAGGACATCCCTGACTCTCCTTACATGGCCAACATTATCCCCGAGCAACCTTTTGATGCTGGACGCGTAAGTTGACTCTAGTTTTTAAGGGGTGTTAAAATTTTAATCACTGAAGTGTGTTGATAAAAGTGTAAAAGTCATATTGTCTGTATTTTGTGTCTTATGGAGGTTTTATTTTTCTTATCTTAATAATCTTGGAATGTTTCTGAGTGTTCTTGGGTCTGCTGAGATACCGTAATAATAATTGTGCGGTGCATAGAGCATGCTTTAAAGGGTGGATGCGCTCTTTTAGGTATTTAAATGTAATTATTATTACTTTTTGTAGCATCTTTAGTAATTGAGGTCCGAGGTTTTTATGAGTTGTGATAAACTATACAAAATAGTATGTCTAATGTATTGTTTCACACCCAATCTACAACTTTGGACAATAAGTTCAATTTGTCACCCTGCAGAATCTTCAACTGTCAATCGTATGTTCTGTCCTATTTGATAGGCACAATGTTAATCAAGTCAGTCTTTGATAAAGAAATTCTTCTTCTTTCTTATCAAACATCGATCATTCGGCACTTATATGGCCTTATTGTCTTGCAAGTGCCGTAAAACTCTTACTAAAAAAAAAATCTATCATCCTTATCTACCCTTCTCTTTTATGTTTATTACTCCCTTGCAACACCTCTAATCTTCTGGCGCTCATATGACCTAATGCAGTTGTGAGCGCCGCAAAACCTCTACTAAAACCAAACTAAAAGAAATGATTGTCCTCCAACTCCAGGTGGTTGCCAAGGGCCCTGGCCTGGAGAAGACTGGCGTGGTGGCCAACAAGTGGGCCGAGTTCACCGTGGACACCAAACTGGCTGGCAAGCCCGCTCCCCTCAACATCAGCTGTATGGATGTTGACTACAAGCCTGTGGATGTGCAGGTTAGTTTGTTGCTTAACCCTTCTAGCCCCATTCGGGGATATTTTCAGCAGCGCTTGTGCCTCCCATCTTCCCAAGAGCGCATATTCTCAGTTTCAGGGGGTACCGATTTTGCTCATTTTTCTAAATTAACTAACCTGATTAAACTTTAATTTTCGTAATGTTTGTTCATTTATCTTTAAACATTATTGTGCGTTATTATCAAAAACTTATTACAAAGATACTACATCACTTTTTTTTAGAATGCATGCCTCTTTTTCTGAAATACTGCGGTATTGGCTGGGACTGGGGTTAGAGAGTGCACAAAAATGGCTGGGGCTGGAAGGGTTAACAGCCACAGCACCAGATGTGTTTCACTTCACCACGTCTTTGTTCTTTCTGCTTGAACTATGATGAAAATTTGTCCTCAAATGATACTGCTGTCGAGTTGTAGACCTCAGAATCAAATGTCAAATATGGAAAGCGGTAAAATAATGCTGATGACAAGTAATTATTTTACCTATTTGGATTTTTAAATATTTGTTACATTTATAGTCTGTGACTCATCTGACATAATACAACGTAATATTCATGACTTGTGCATTGATTTTTAGTCATACTGTGGTCAGCTTTGTCTTGCTTAAAAAAAACCCCTGCTCAACAAAATTATTTGTGAATCTGGGGTATTTACCCATATATTTATTCTCTTTGATTTTGGATTATTTTCAGGTGAAGGACAACGGCAATGGCACTTATTCCTGCCGCTACATGCCAACAAAGAACGTCAAGCACACCGTGACCATCACGTATGGTGGTGTCATGATCCCCAAGGCTCCATTCAGAGTGAGTGCTAGAACAATTAGAATGGATATTGAGAGCTGTTGTTCACTTGCGAGTCTAGCTATTATCCCACTATTACTATTGTCTGTAAAAATGAATATCTTTCAGATCAAATTAAATGGCAGAAGAAATTCGAAGGTATTTTAACATTACACATGGTGTCTGATACCACTTTGTGTCGGATTTTATGACAGTCAGTACCATTAACGTTTCTTTTTGGAATAGAGTAGACATATGTATAAATCTACACTTAACATTTTTTAAATAGAATCTTGACTGATAGTGGACGATGCAGTTATTTACTTTTTCAAGAATGGTAATGAATTCTTTTTCTCCATCCTGCTTCTGCTTCTAATGTGTCAAAATGACTGTATAAGTTCTTTCAAGCAAAACATGACCTGAAGTTAGAAATATATATTTTAAGTGTATATACAAACCTTGTTATGGATAGTTTGTATTCGGATTGATAACCACAACAACAACAACAACAACATGAATGTGTTGTAGCTGCTGACCCCAGCCATGAAAAATTGAACCTTACGTCCCTGTATATCCTATCATGCTTTTTCCAGGACTGCCTTGTGTACTGCAGGTTCACCCTATTTTCTCATCCTTTTACTGTTGCCTGTTCATGTTTGTCCTTGCCATCCATCTTTTGATGTTGATCCTTTCGACCTTTTTGAGAATCTCAGTTTGCATGTCAGTGTACAGTGTTCAAGATCTGTGTTTAAGGCATGAAAAGATTTGGATTATGGAAGAGATGTGTTTGGACTGCTGGTCGGGACTGGACAACAGTACATTCGAAATTGTCCCAGACGGTCACCCATTGTTCAGGAAAAACATGGTGTTTCATAGACCGGTGAACGTCTTGGACAGTTTCATTATGATGGAAAAAATGTATGGAAAGAAAGGGGTGGTCTTAGACTGGAGGCCGTTAGAGCAGGTTCAACTATTTCTTATGTTTTTAATATTTAGCAGTGCATGATGTTAACTGTTCATGAATGTTATTGTTCTCTTAGATTTTTTGTGTGCAGAAATTGTCATATGAATCAAAAACTATATGAAGATGGGGTGTGATTTAATTGTTCAGTTCTGAAGTATTGAAGTTGGATTTGAAAACACACCAGACATTTTTTAAATTACTTTTTCTTTTTAAAAAAAAAGAAGGGTTTGGCAAAAAAAAGTTCACAGGGTGTGAGGGGTTTGCTAGAAACACCTTAGAATTGAGTTTGTTCGAATTATAACCTCCTAAAGTCAAGGGTTTACTTTACAAAGCTAACTTACAATATGTTGGGGGGGGGGGGGGGGTGGGTGGGTGTCAGCCAAGGAACTAAATTGTTTTGGAAACCGAGATTGTTATACCTGTCCAAGATGACCACCCATTGTCGATGAGAAAAATGCTCATCTTCCATTGGTGGTTCTCCAGGACGGTGTCATTTTAATGTAGAAAAAACACAGGGGTGGGGGGGGGGGGGGGGGGGAGTGGTTGTTTGGTCAGGTGATTGACTTTGACAGATGGAACATGTGATTGGCTTTGGATAGATAGATCAGGTTCAACTGCTCTTTTCTTTTGGATTGGAGCTGGTACAAACATAATTCTATTTCTCTTCCATGCTGTTGCTTGCTTGTAGTCTTCTCAATCAATGAAAGAATTTCTGAGACGCGATGTATTTGATCACATCTCAATGTCTATGGTTCAGGTGTACGTGTCGGAGCCCAGCAACCCATCCAAGGTCAAGGTGTTTGGACCAGGTGTGGAGAAGGGTGTGAAGACCTTCACCCCGACCTACTTTGTTGTTGACTGCAAAGAAGCTGGACCAGGTACTTGCGAACTGTAGACTAATAATAATGATAATAATAATAATAATAATAAAAATAGCAATAATAATAATACTATTAATAGTAATAATAATAAGCATGATGATATTAATCATAATGATTATAATTATAATAAAGATATTTTCTATACACCCACTCCCTGGTGGCTCTAGGTGCTTCACAATCAAATAACATTTTTATATCTTACACAATGGGACATTTCATGTAGAACAATACTTTCAAATACATATGCACCCGTAATGTACCAAGTTATGACAAAAGAACACATAGACAAAAAAGACAATCGCTTAGCCTCTCACACTACTTTGATGTATTTTTAAGGCTTTTTTTCAGCATTGTTCAATAGATGTTAAGTCTAGTTGACGAAATAAAGCCAAATGAAGGAAGAAGGAAAAGGATAAAAATATTTATTTTCTTAGTAATATATTATGTTTTCTTTTATAGTTTTCTTAATGAGTTCAAAGTATTAATTTCTCCCAAACAATAATTTTTGTATTCTGTTCCATGTCATCCTTTAAGTGTTTGAGCTTGTCTGATTTTCTTACATGCTAGTATTTGAGAATTCTTTATACTTTTCTGATGTTTCTCATTTCATTGTTGTTTCTGTCTCTGCTCAGGTGATGTGGCCGTGGGTCTCACTGATGAGCGTGGCGTCGACGTCCCTGTCAAGACGACGGACAACCAGGACGGTACTTTCACCGTGGAGTACGAACCCAAGTCCCCTGGACAGTACACTGTGCTGGTCTACTTCGCCAACAAAGAAGTGCCCCAGAGCCCTATCAAGGTCAAGGTCGAGCCCAACATCGATGTCAGCAAGATCAAGGTCGTTGGTCTGGAGCCAAGTAAGTTTTTATTCTGTGGGCTGCTTGCGTATGTAATTACCACATTATTTTTTGTCATATACCAGTTTTCACAATTTGGAAGGGGTTTCGTAGAGTTACTTGCTTTGGAGTACTCTACATTATTCTTTCTCTTTCCGTGTCTTAATTTCCCTCCATTTACGTGGAACCACTTTATTTGAATCTAATTTTTATGATTATCTGTAAGCTCCATTAATCTGTAATCACAGACATTTTCATGCCTTCTCACTGTTATCTTCACCACTGTTTCTATGATGAACTGAACATAGTTTGTCAAACACAATGAATGTTTAGAACAACGTCACAATTACCTCATGTTATTGTGAATCCACTTATAGCCATGCCCATCGGTGTGCCACGTGAGATTGGCATTATCTCCAAGGGACTTCCCAAGGCTGAGACCAAGGTCAAAGTGGTCTCGCCCACCAACCAGGTCCTGGAGGTGCCCACCACACCCACTGGTGACGGAGCCAAGGCGACCTTTGCCCTCGTGGAGCCCGGACCCCACCAAGTGGAAATTTCGTACGGTGGCGCCCCCGTGCCGCAGTCTCCATTCCAGGTGGAGGCTGTGCAAGGACCACCAAGGGTCAAGGCTTACGGGCCTGGACTTACTGGCGGAGAAGCTCTCCAGCCGGCTGTTTTCACCATTGACACCCGCGAAGAGACGAACCCAGGAGGTTTGGGACTCTCCGTGGAAGGTCCTTCTGAGTCTCAGATCCAGTGCGTGGACAACAAAGACGGAACCTGCCAGGTCACCTACGTACCCCCCGTGGCGGGAGCGTACAACGTCAATGTCACGTACGGAGAACGCCCTATCCCTGGCTCCCCCTTCAAGGCTCAGATTCAGCCCGGAAAACCTGGTATCGATGTCAGCGGAATCGTTGCTTATGGACCTGGACTCAACCCAGCTGGTAAACAACCCTGCCCTGCTGCATGATGGAGTTTGCCTATTTGAAATTGCATCTTGAAATGTGATCTACATCTGGTTGATTGAGTAAAGGATGAGATCAGTTGAATTGCTGCAACCAAAATCAAAATGCTTCTTGAATTGTGCCATACATTACTTTGCAGAAAGTGCGAGAGAAGTCTGAATTAATGCAACTCAAATGAGAATGTATCTGAATACCTCACCTAGCATTGAACACAAAATGGATTGTATCAATTTAAATTGTTTCAGCAAACAGTTTGCTTGCTCTTTTTATGCAGAACGCTTGGACAATGTTTACCTAAACGGGTGTTTATTTTGATTCCCCTCCCCCAGCTTTTATTGACAGAAAGATTCTCGTACTCAGAATTACTCGCAACATTTTTGTTTGCTCTTTCTATACTGACCAGCCATCAAACAAGCATGGAGCTAATCCAGGAAATTGCATCTTGAATTTTGTTCACAATGATGACGAAAAAAGAATGGATTCTCAGCCAAAATTTTTTGCTGCTGTGTTGTTCAGTCTTTCTAAAAATGTGCATGGAGCAAGCCAAAATGAAAATGCTTGGTGAATTTTCTCATATCAAGTGTTATGAGGGAAAAAAATAAAACCCTTGAGAAATTATCTGTTGTGTGTTGTTTCTAACGTGTCAACTCCAACCATTTTACTTTACTGCTGAGAACAAAATAAGATTTTTAAAGTTGTGTGCTCTTGCATGAAGTTTACAGTATATATATATACAAGGGACTCTAGCAACAACTACGACAGCCACTCTCAAATCTCAGTATATAAGACTCAAAAGATGTTGCATGGAATAAACTGTTCAAGCCTTTATTAATAAAACAGTTTAGGACTTTTGCAAGTTAAACTCTCTTTCCTACTTCTCAAATATTTTTGGAGCTTTTGTACTTAATTGCCTGCTGCTGTTTTTGCTGCTGTCACACTGTCAGGATTCACCACTAAGAAGGGGTGGAAGAAACTTGCACTGATTTGAAAGATACTTGCCCTTTGCGCATGTGTAAAAAAATTGTGTTACAAGAAAGCGGAAAATTTGTTTGAAACAAAGAGCTCTTCAGCTTGACTCTTTCAGTGAGAAGTGAATTCATATTCCTGCCTGTGTTTGGACTTTTTCTGATCTTGGTGTCGACAACCTGCATGACTGAACATTTCATTTTTTTTACATTTTTGATATATTTCAGTGAGTTGCATGTCATCAGTGACTGACTGCTCCTTTAAATCTCCTTTCAATGTATTTGTTTTCCCATTTGAACTCATCTTTAGAACCCATTTGGAGTCTAAATCCAATTTAGAAAATCAAACTGCATGTTACTACATGTTTGACTTTTACCCTTATTTCGTCCTAAAATTTTAGCCTTTGAATTGTCCCACTTTTGTTATTAATTCTTATACTCACCCCTTATTTTATATAATAATATGTTACTTTAATTACTTTCTGCTCATGACTGTAGTTCTTAGGATGAATGATTTTCTATTGAATCTCATTTGTTTCATCAATAGCCATGGTAACAAGTTGCCCTCTTTGTCCTTTTATATTTTTTTGGGGTATGCATGCTCTCACAGCCCATTTAGTGGGATTTTTTCTGTTCAATACATACTTTCCATGTAATGTGGGTATCAAAAATGGTCTTATTTGTTCAAAGTATTTATTGAATTAGATCCAACCTTTATTTTTTGGGGCGAGAAGGAGGGGGGAGGTGGGGGGGTTACTCTTTTATCTTTTGTGCTCGTCTTTTTCTTAGCTGTTTGAGGATGTATATATTCATGTGCCACGACTGAGTGTGTTTGTCTGTGCGTCTGCCAGGAGTGTTCATGGACTGCCCCAACGAGTTCACGGTTGATGCCAAGTCTGTGTCACCAACTGCCCAGGGCAAGGTGAAGGCTATCATCACCAGCCCCAGTGGTCAGAGAACTGACACTCTGGTCAAGAACAACGGAGACGGCACCTACAACGTGCTCTACACTCCCTTCGAACAAGGTGGGGACTACAGATTTTCATGTAGATGGATTTCTAAAAGAAAACTTTTAAAATATGTTTTTGATATTTTTTTAAAAGGTTTTCATTAACTTTTTGATATTAGTCTTTTTGTTCTCTACATTTTGCAATTTCAAGAAATGAATCCAAGAGCGAGGACTACTTAATTGTTCACTTATATGGTACTGCTTGTGTTAGGGTTGATTTGATTTGCTGAAGCATAGATAGAAATACATTCTGGCCAATCTTTCACAGAAATGAAAACTGGTTTGTAATCTTTGATTAAAATAGTCAATTTTGCCTAATCTTTAATCAGAAATTAAAATTTGTCTAATGTTTGATGTTCTTCACATTCCGGGCACAGGTCCCCAGCAGATCGAAGTGACCTACGAGGACCTGCCCATCCCTCAGTCTCCTCTCACCGTCAACGCCATCCCCGGAAGCGATGCCAGCAGAGTCAAGGCCTACGGACCAGGTTTGTAGCAGAATTTTGCTCAGAGTTAAGGGCAGCTAGCCTCTAATGAATTGAGATTAGCAATATTGAATTAAGGCCCCTGTCCTTTACCTATTGATTTGTTACCTCATATATATGTACTTGTAGCTGGTTTTACCCATAATGTTGAAAGGTAATTTGCACAGTAGTAAGTTTGAATGGAAGGTGGTTGGGGGGGGGGGGGGGGGGAGTGTAGAAATGTAATTTCATATTTGAAAACTGCATTTCAATAATTCATTATGACAAAATATGTAAAGTAGTATTCCCCTCATCTGTTGTACTTCCAGGTGATGCTCAATGGCCAACATGAGGAGTCCACGCTAAAAACGGGCATAGTCACAAATTGGAAATTGTGAAAGTGTCAATTTTTAAAGTTTTTGGACTCGTAACTTCATATTTGTTTGATGGGTAGTTTATTATGTTTGTAGACTGGGAAATCTTGAGGACAATAATCAACCAACAGTTGAACAGAAATACAGTTATGAGTCAGCAAGCGTTCATAATTGATACCCTCACGATTTTCAGTTTGTGACTATTCCCATTTTCCCCGTGGACTATTCATATGTCTTTCGGCTGGACAAAATAATTCCCTGTAAAGTAGTTTTAAAATGTTAGTTTGGCACAGACTTATACTTTTCCTTTGGCTTTCCTTTTAAAAATACATTGATTTATATTTGTACAAGTGACCTGTCATGGATAGATGGTCGTTGCATCAGGTCCGACTATATTTTTACAGTGAATTTAGAATTGTATTCTTTGTGAGTGAATTCTCATTTCGCCTTTGAATTCTCATTTTGCCTTGCGACATGCCATCTATATAAATGGTTTCTCTCCCCTTGCAGGACTGGAGGGTGGTCTCACTGACGAGCCCGCTGTGTTCACCGTGGACATGAAGGGCGCCGGCAAGGGAGGCCTGGGTCTGGGTATCGAGGGCCCCGTTGAGACGCCCATGCAGTGCCAGGATAACCATGATGGTACCTGCCAGGTGGTCTACCAACCCACCAAGCCTGGCCCGTATGACGTGTCTGTCAAGTTCAATGAACAGCATATCCCAGGTGGGGGCTCCTCATTGTTGTATAGTATGACATAACATAGGAATAACATCCCCTTTGTGAGTTTATTAAAGACTTACATGCTGGTTTTGCGAACAAGTAGGGAAATCATGGTTTCTGAAATTGTCCGTATTTTGCCCGACTCCTTCATAAAAGGTGTATTAAACAATGAGATCAGTAAATTTTGTGTCTCTGTGTGCGTGTTTCCACAGGGTCCAAACAGTTAAAGATTTTTTTTCCAGAAACAATAGACACTTCTGTTAAGAGTTCATCCAAGTGGACTCAGAGCTTTGAAAAATTTCTAAACTACACAAGTTCAAGAATGAGGGCAGTTTACTCTTTCTCCTCAGCTGTGGACATGGCTGATACAGAAAAACCCAATCTTGATATGACAAGCTGAAAAACAAGTTCCGTTGCAAGGGCCTCTGTTTTGAGGCTAAAGAATTTATTTTCAGAGTTGTCTACTGTAAGGTCCCGCACTTAGTTATGAACACAGTTTTAGAAGACTTATTCATGTATGTCGTCCGGATCTTTGTTCTTTATTCCTCTTGTTTATGCACATTGTTTTAAATGAAATTATAATACGTCTTTCAGGAAGCCCCTTCCGTGTTGGCATTAAGAACCCTGTGAACCCTGCCAAGGTCAAGTGCTACGGCCCTGGTCTGGACAGCCGCGAGGTCAAGGCTGGCATGCCAGCGACCTTCACCGTTGACACCACTGAGGCTGGTGAAGCTCCTCTTGAGGTCACTTTCACCGACAGCACAGGTAGGGGAATATTGCTTGTTTGTTTGTTTTAAGGGCATACGAGGTTACGAAAACAATTCTAAGGGCAAATATTGATTTTAAAATATTTTGTTACGTCTTGAAAATCAGATAATTATTCTTTAAAAAGATGTTACATACATAGTTTTGTCCTATTTTGTAGTGTCTACGTGGAAAGTTTCAACTCATTCAGTTAGAGAACAGAAGAACTGAAGGCAAAGAACCAACACTACGAAAGAAAAAAAAAGTCCAAAATGGCCTCCTGTTTTGGCCATTTTTTCTTCTCAAAACAAACCTATTTTGTGTATGTGTGTGTGGGGGGGGGGGGGGGGGGGGGGGGGGCATAAATCATCTGTTTAGCCCCCAAACGTAGAACTTTCAGCACCCTAATTCCGAACCCAAAAGAATTATTTGTGAACTTGTTTTATCTTTTTTTTTACCACTGCATGCCGTTAAACAGTGCCATGTGAAAGTGCTCTACCATGATAGCCAACCCTTGTTTTGACCCAACTGCTCCGTGAATATGTCGTCTGTAAAGGAAAGACAGATATTTACGAGAATGTTATATCAGTAAATCATAATATGTGATAGAGGTTTTTTTACATACTATGTTTCATTTTGTGTCAGGCGCCAAGCGCCCCGCCCAGGTGACCCCTGTGGAGGACGGCATCTTCAATGCCACCTACGTCCCCACCGCTGAGGGTCCCTGCCAGGTGGAGGTGAAGTACGCCAACCAGCAGGTCCCCAACAGGTGAGAGACAAATGAACAGCTGCTTGCACTGTATGCTTCCTTACTGGAAGTTGAGAATGTTCCTGAGTGTTCTAACCCCCACCAGGGCAGTGCTACTGACTGAAGTGTCTTTAGGCTATTTACTTTTATGATTTAAAGGCTTTTATCATTCCAGTATAACATGATATTACTCTTTAGAGGACGAAACAATTAAGTGGTGACATTGTGTGCCGTCTTAATGGTAATTATTATCAAAGGACATGTCCTATTGGTATTCTGGCTGAAAATTCCTCGTAATAAGTACACTGTTTTCTGTATTCCTTATGATTTTAATATATATATATATATATATATATATATATTTATTCTGTTCTTGTGCTTCCCACAGCCCGTTCAACATCAATGCCCAGCCTGGTGTGGATGCCAGCAAGGTGAAGGTGACTGGCCCCGGGATCAGCAGCACCACCCCTGCCAGTCTCCCCGCCGCCTTCCACGTGGACACCCGCGAGGCTGGAGAGGCACCACTTGATGTCTTCGTCAAGGTAACTTTTAGCTACCTGCAGAATTACTTAACTGATTCAGCCCGCAGATACTTTTGACTTCCGACGCAAATAATTTGTTACCGCTTCGTGACCTCACAGGTGGTCTCACAAAAAGTTAATAAAGAAATATCTAAATTTTATAAAACCCTATGTGTGGCACATAGAAATGTTCAGAATAAAAAATATTATTCAATGACACCAGAAAAAAGGGTTGAAATGTAAGCGGTCAGGAAAAAAGACGAGAAGAAAGTGACGCAAAGAAAGGTAGCAAGAGATAAGAGCCCCTCTGAGTGGCTCTGTGTCAAAACACAGGAGATAATCAGCAGCTGTGAGCGGCGCTGTGGGCTGAATCAGTTAACACTTTGCTGTCACATCTCGCCGATCGGCGATGTTTACTGCCCAGTTTCTTTGGATTTTCCTCACAATGCCTTTGCCTTTGATGGCAATGGTTTTTACTATATGAGCCTTGAGATGGCAAAGTGTTAACCGGATTATAAGGTCAGTTGATGCAGTTCATTTTGCTGAGACTAGTGAAGGTACTAAGTAAGTTTCCTCCTTTGACAGATCAATAAAGCTTATCTAATATTATCTGTCTTTGTTTTTATTTAATTTTCATCCTATGTACAGTATCACCTCGTATCTTCTGTTATCTTTTCTTGTCTAGACTAAATTTTTTTCGTAGTTAGAATAGTCTCACTTCCTGTGTCATTCTTTGCGTGTCCCCCCCAGCGCCCTGATGACACCTACATCCGCCCCTTCATCCAAGACAACACGGACGGCACCTACGATGTTGTGTACACCCCAGAGGACTTGGGTGTCTATGATGTGGCCGTGCAGTACGGAAGCCAGGATGTGCCGGGATCTCCTTACAATGTCAAGGCCACACCTACCGGAGACGCCAGCAAGTGCAAGATTCTTGGTAAGCTGGTCAGACATGCATACATGCTTTGTTCAAGGTTTTCACTGAATTGCTTGTGTCACTTATGATTTGTCTGTTCTTCCTTGAATCTCAAGTTTTCAGTATTTGAACACACAGGTTGAACATACAGGATGTGAATACTTTTCATTTCTTTTTACTTCGTTGAAGCTGTTTCAAATTCTTCACAAGCACATAAATGAAATGTTAAATTTTTAATGAAGAGGAAATCAGTGCAAAACTGGAATTTTTTTAAGGTAGCAATGCCAATCGGGCTTTCCCGCGAGGCGAAAATTTGGTCCCCGTTTACGGGCGATTTTGCGGACCCGGCCGAAGCGTAGGTGACTAACTTTGTCAACCTCGGTCTGCTCTATTTCCGAACCAATCCGAATGAAACTCGGCTACCAATCAGAAAATAGGGCAAACTAATGATATGTGGACGTTGAAGTTCGTACACATAAATTAACCTATACTTTTGGTGTCGGGAACACTTTCGTATCGTGTACACCGAAAACTATAAGGAGTTTGAATTTCAACGCCCAGATGGTAATAGATCTATCTATCCTCTATAGTGTGCTCAAATTTGAGAGTTCTGTGTCAAGTAGTTGTTTAGACCCGATCGTAAATCTACGACTACCCCCCTATCCAAAGCGGCTTCGCATGGAGACCGGCCATTTTCCCCTCACTCCCGTGGCAAATGTCTGTGACCTACAAATCCCCGCATGACTATTCCGGGCCCGTTCATTGGTCACTTGAAATAGGGCAATGGCGGGCGCGCGCATCCGGTTGTGTTTCTCTCTATTCCCCTGTAACATCGCAAGGGGGTATTCCGAGGCGAGGTTATCTCGTCTCGGGGTGTTCGCGTCTCAACGGGAAAAAAGAATTTTTAATTGTACGGCATGCTAGATTGAATTAACTTATCTTTTACGGTTGGCATGGTCTAAAGTCATCATAAAAAGCTTTGCAATTATTTAGTCACGCTGCCGACATATATTCTTAAAGATCCCATGTTGTGATACGATGCTATAAATAAAATGGACTCATCCCGACACCCCTTTTTCGCAAAATCGTAATATGTACACCACAATTTTAATTATAACAAAATAACTACGAAATTGGTAATAAATCTGACTGCAGAAATGATTTCTACACTCAAAAACACATCGGGTAGCCAAGTTTCTCTCGAACATTTGGATTAGTTACCGAGATATCGTCGATTTTCTTACAGAATCTGCTACTGCGTGGTCCACTTTTGAGGAGTATTTTCCTATATGTGGGTCATCCATATTTTGCCGACCTTTACAACCCCATAACTTTTTTATTTATGAACCGATTCTCAAAATTCAAGAAGCATAATTATCAGAATTGAAAATTCTTTCTTAGGTACCAAAAAAAAGGGGGCAAAAGTGAAAATTTAAATTTTCATTGGCATTGCTATTTAAGGGGCATGAAAGACCTACATTTTCAGTATTGAATTTTATTAGATTGCCAATAGTTGTCTACCCTTACTAGATTAAGTGCTCAGCCACACAGGAACATAACTACGCAGGTTTGTTCTTTTATCATACTTATCTCCCTTGTTCAAGTTGTGCGATTATAACTCGCATCACTACTCACACTGTCTAGTTGTCTAAAGTTCACTTAAACTATTTCTTTGAATGGTTGAAGAATTTCTTTCAGAGATACACCTTCAGATAGGACCTTTGACTTCCTAACTTTGTAATTATTTGCTCAGTATTTTTTAAATGAATTTTAGTAAAGGTTTTCTTTTTTATAAAATCTTTTTTTTTTTTAATGTAGATGTTTTTGTACCCAATTTGACGCAATTTAGATCAAAAGTTTTGAAAGATGTTTGATAAGGTAATATTTTCACACTTTTTGTCTGACTTTGGTTTGTATATAGGATTATTTGAAAAAACAGATTGTTCTGTATCTTAATAATTTTTGTGGGTGGTTGGCGGGTGCTCTGGTGTGGTTTGCTCCTTATTTCCCATAAAAAAATATATCGTCTTTATCTCCTCTCCTTTTTTGTGTTTGTTACTCTCTTGTAACACCTCTAATCTTCGGCACTTTTATGACCTTATTGTGTTGCAAGTGCCATAAAACTCTTACTAAAACTAACGAATAGATTTTTTTTTCATGTATAATTTTTTCCCCCCACAGCTGGAGATGACCGCACAATCCCTGTAAACAAAGAGACAGTGATCACTGTGGATGCGGCCCAGGCTGGTGTCGGAAAGGTCACCTGTCGCATCAGGTCACCCAACGGCAGCGACATTGACATCGACATCATTGAGCAGGGAGATGGCACCTTCTCCATCTCCTTCACCCCGCAGTTCGCCGGCCCCTACACCATCGAGATCAAGTTTGGCGGAGAGCTCATCCCCAACGGCAGTTACACCGTGCAGGTAGGTGTCTTGTGTCTGGGCTGTGTGTCATGTGTCGGAACTGTGTGTCGTGTGTCGGAACTGTGTGTCATGTGTCAGAACTGTGTGTCATGTACTGCTCAGCATCTCGGAGCTACTGTGTCGTGGTTGTGCGTGACAGTGCTTCTTGTGAATCATTCATTCATAGGTGAGTAGTGAAGTTGCTTTTGGAAAGAACGAAATCAATTTGAAATCTTTCCTGAACAAGGTTAGAGTTGGGTGGAGGGGAGGTCTGAATGGTTCTAAATGAATCTTGGAAACAGGTGAAGGGGGGGGCCGAATGAATCTAAGATTTAAACTTTCTGAAGAGGGAAATATAGTTTAATTTGGTAGACAAAAACTCATAAATGAATGCAATTGATTTCAGTTAAGAAGCACTGGTATGTTGTCAGTGTCTGTCTGTTGTGTGTGATGGGTTGAGTGTGTGGGGGAGGGGGCGATGCAACTGTTCCTTTTTTGGGGGTCTTCTCTTTTAGCACATGAGTTAAAACCACTGACTCTGTACCTTCTTTATTGACAAGTTGACTTTGGTGCGTGGAGAAGAAATTCTTGGGTCCAATTTTTGTCTGAGGAAGTTAATTTTAATGACTATCTCTATCACTGTGCTGGGATGTTGTATCCCATTGAGCTCAGGGTTTTCTTGACGTACAGGTCAGGGCAGCCAGCCTCCTTTTTAAAATAAATTGTTTGAAGGGGTGTAAAATAATTAGAGTCATGCCCAGAAATTACAGTGTTTGAGGTTGTATGAGGGAGAACGGATCTTGTGTTTACTATACTCTAAAGGAACAGTAGAGAAGTTTTGTCACAGTGAGTTTTATTAGGAGAGTGATTATATGTTTGTGTGTGTGTGTGTGTGTGTGTGTGTGTGTTTTTGTAGTTGGGTGGTGTGTGGTGCACTGTACCTCTCTCAAGTCCACTGAAGACAATTGAGCAAGCCATTTAACTAGCAGTGTAAGAGGAACCAAATATATCATTGTGACAGTCGTGCTGGTCATGTAACCCTTACGTTTGCAGCGCGTCAGTTCAACTGGCTCAGGGCATGGCTTGGTTGGTTGCAGTCTTAACAAGAAAACTACAAGAATCCATTTTATCTATCATCTGACTGTAAGCTTAATGCTTGGATTATTCATTTCAACTCAATTTGGTGTTTTATTAAGCGTTTTACAGCACTTGCAGCAGTTAGGTCATATATAAGTGCCAAAGATTAGAGGTGTTACAAGAGTGTAACAAATACAAAAAAAAGAAGAAGGAGCAAACCGCACCAGAGCACCCACTGACCATCCACTGTTTGATCGGTGAATTTTGTTGGTAGCTTTGAAAAGTTAAAGGTCTTGTACTATTGTCTTTGGTGGATTTCTGTGTGTTGTGTCTGTTTCTGTGTCTATTATTCTCTGTCGATGCATTTCATCATCTGTACTGCCAGAGTTTCTCTTTTCTCTGAGTGGTGAAGATTGTGTGTGGACTGAGCTGTTGTGTGTCACCAGTTTGCCAATGTTCATGCACTTTTCAGCGTTATTCTTTTTACCCATAATTTTCCATTTCACTTACTTGCTTGTTCATCTATGACATGACGGCGTCCTTTTTTTACGTACATTGATACAAATACTTACGGGGGGTGGGGGGGGGCTGTTTTATTTTGTTTTTGTGTATTGTAGTAGTTTAATAATTGGCGCAGCAGAGCGTTAAGCCTCGGCACTTTCGAGCACCTGATCCTTAAACCATTGACGGGTGAAAGCGCTCTCTCAGCGAGTCCACACTTACACACACACACACTCACACACACACACACACACA